AGCTGTGTGGCTCATGAACAAAAGCCAAGAACAGATCTGGTTAAGGCCTGTATTGGGTCAGTAAAATATCAGGAAGAAGGCAGGCTTTCAAAATCTCCAGAACTCTTTAGCAATCTGCATATTCCAGAACTTTGGAAGGGGGTAGGGGAGAGACTCTAAAAATTATTCTGGATAGATGTTAAAGCCACAGAATTTGTTAGACTGAAATTCCAAAATGCAGCTTTTAAGAATATGCTATCGCATATTCTTACCATATTAAGAATATTCTACATCTTGATGGGAAATATTCTGTAAGACTACCTGTCCTGGTTCTCTTCCCAGGAGGTAACCACCACCAGCTCCCTCACAAGTCTATTTGAGTGCATATTAAAGTTTGAACTATGCTTTTATCCCTGGGCTTGCATTACTTCCAAGCCTGTGTGATTGACTAAGAGGTCATCAATAGCAAATATCGGAAGGTCAGAAGAGTTTACCTCCTGCAATTCACATTAATGGATCAAATACTGTGAAATCCTCAGTTTTCAAAATGTTGGAGTACTTTTTAAAAGCCTATGGCCTTGCCATTTCATTTTATTGCTGTTGTTGACAGAACAACTATTGCTCAATTCTACTAGCTCTTCTTTGTACCACACACAAAGGATAGGTCAGATAAAGACACAGTATGCATTCTTCACCAAAGCGCATTCCCAATCATTTTGCAATGCTGTTTCCGCCTTTCATCCCAGCCTTTTGTGTGACATAAGCAAAATGCTTGGGGGAAGTATCCATCCTCTGGAGTAAGTTTCCACTAAGTCATCTTCCACCACAAGTAGCAACTTGCCAACAATACCAATAAGTCACAATAGTGTGTCACACTGTTTCCACATGCTGTCTTTCCCAACCCAACTCTTGACATACATACAAGAGCCAGGCATATCAGACTGAACAAGAGAGCTTTCCTACCCACCAATCATCCACTGCTATTTTACAATCTTTGCTGCCATTCTACTCACCACTGCATATTTCTGCAGAACCACAACCACACATGTACTCAAGAATTCAACATTTTGAAAATGCAGTGGGTGTTTTGACAAGTGCTACAGCAACACAAGTGGTAAATGATGGCAGCAGACAACTGAATAAAAGCATCTTTTTCTTTCTACCAAAGATGTGATACACTAAGAATGCGCTGAAACACTTTCTGGCATGGACAATGGAACCATCCAGTCGCCAGACCTCACACTTAGGCTAGCTAAAAACAGAGGAGGAGTTTGCCGAACTCTTTGTTGTTGTCATTAATCTGGAAGTGATGACAATGAATGCAGTAATGAGCCAGAACAAAGCAATGTGGATATTTTGCACTTAGAATTGTGTGTGGCTTTTACATATATCCCTGAGCTAGCTTGACCCTAACGGCACTGGAAGAAATCTGGCAACATACAAACTTTATGCTGGGAGCTATGAAAAGACAAGGCTTTAGTAGTCAAATAACCCAAAACATCAAATAAGGTACATAGGGACTTATTCCATGTTTGTTTTCCTTGAGTACAGAATTCCTGATACAGCCCTACTATTGGTAGATGGCCCCACAGAGTAGAAAAACAATATTGGGCCTGAACTTGGTACCATGATTTCAGTTCTTCAGTCTAGTCTGTTATATCTGCCAAGCATCTCTACATGCACAAGATCTAGAAAGTCTAGAAATACAGGGTTTTGACTACCTAAATTCTAACTAGCACTCACTAGGCATACAAGTGCCTGCGAGAAACATGGTATTAAAGTCTTATTTGATTTCATGATTCTGGAACAATATATGAACCATATTTAAGGCCCATTTCTACTTTCAGTCTTTGTAGGACAGGCAATTTTATATCACATCAGCCAAATGAGGGCACACCTGAGCTCTGTCTGAGCTTGTCCAAATCATATGGTACAAACTGAAAATAAAGTTACATATTCAGGTTCAAAAGGCTGATTTGATTGGGAGAGACAGAAGAGAAAACTGGGCAAAAGTAAAAAAAAAACAAGCCTGAGGGATTCATGGTAGCAAGACAGGCCAAACCGGTTTGTTCATTAATAATGCTTCACTACTTTTCAAAACAATAAGGTCAGCCAAATACTTATACTTTTGGAAATTCTACTACTGTTTTAATGTTGAAGGAACATTATGAAGTAAAGCCAACTAGCATGTTGCACTCATTGCTCTTGCAGCATAAGGTGTTGTGTTGATAATATGTGGGGATGAGCTGATATTGATATATAGGAGACTGGTTTGATTTTCCATGGCAAAACTTCCTGTATGCAGAAGCAAAACAATGATTAAAAAAACCAAGAAATGTTTAGATTCATACCCATTGTTTTTACTGCAATATTCAGGATGGCTTACAAAATTTAAAAGCTACAAAAGTAATTCAGAAAATCAATAAAACAGTAAAATGCAGCATTAAAATGAAGACTGCAGGCAATCGTATTAGGATACAAGAAGTTCTTTAGAACTCAAGCAAAGAGGCCAAAACAGAAGCATATTCAATAGGCAATGAAAACTTGAGAACAGGGGCCAAATAACTCCCCCCTTCTTCCAATAGAAATTAGTACAAGCTAGCCATGATTGCAGAAAATACTCTCTGCTCTCCTATAGCTAGTTCAGTTCATGTTTGGCCATGTCTTTCAGCTATACGAATAGCAATGTATAACATTATTTTATAAACCACTGTGCAGTCACACCTTCTCAAAATCATCTGACCATGTTAAAAGAAAACCTTCCAGTTCCTATATTCAAGTATATTATGATTCCTCCAGGTACTGCTCAGTATGGGGGGGGGGCTACTAGAAAAGGAGGGATGAGGAGAAGAACATTCCAATGTATTTTGACACTATATCCCTTGAAGGCCAAAAGGATGTCAATAGGGCTTCTGCTAAAAAGCCAAACAACAGACAGATATTTTGATAAGACTAGAACAGCATGTCAGTAGCACCTTTGACTGATAACAGAATTTCAGGAATGCTTAATAGAATAGCCTATGATGTACAGGCTGATGACAAAGGCTAGTTTCAAAAAGATCCATATATCTTGAGATTCCTTAGGCTAACCCAAAGCCATAAAATCAGAAATGTACATCCCAGGCTGGTCTCTTTATTGATTAACAGGCTTCTGTAGTCAAGTGAACAATGGCCATGACAACTGAACAATAAGGTACCATCTTGCACTAATAAAGTAACTTCACCCTTCACAGTACCAGTACCAGCTCATCAGAATACAGTACATTATCAATACTGTACGTACTTGAACTTTTATACTACACAAACTAATGACAACATGTTAAGAGTAATACAGCAAAAAATGCTAAACAGTAAGTTAATAACTCTAAAAAGCCTTCTGGAATGTGCTCCCATTGACTTTTATTGGACATGGGTGGTGAATAACAAACGGAAAATCACAGACAACCACATCACAGACATGGACAACAGATGAAAAAGCAGGACTAAACCTATTAAGAAAAAAAGAAATCTAGATTGACAAGAAGGGAATACAGGTAGATGTGAAATCAGGCAAAGAGGAAAGGATTACGGAAAGCCTCACTTTCAAATACATAAACACTGCCACTCCCAACTTCAGAAGGTACAAAAGTCTCTTATCCAAGTAGCCAACGTATCAACATGCCTTTTCTAAGGGGAGACACACTGGGAATCACAAGTCAGCCCGAATTATTCCTCCCTTTGCTCTCTCATGACATTCTCCCACCCACTGGGGAAGCCATTGGGTTCCCTCCTGTTGCTCCTACTCCCTGCTGGCTTCTCACAGGCTTTGCAAGTGTGTTTTGGATCAACAATAAGCACACACAGGATGTTCGGCATGGTCAAAGGTCGTAAAGCAAGGGGTGTTTACCGTAGAAATAACTACCTGTACAAACAACTAGAGGTGTAAGGGAGGAGGCAGTTGAAGGGCACACTGGCTTCCAGGGATTTCTGTTCTCACAGAACAAGAGACAGAAATTTATCTCCAACCAGCAACTAAGCTAGCTAGCAAGCCAGCAATCAAATCCAGACTTACAGGAAAACCCCAGATTTGTAACGTGCCAGAGCCCTGGGGATTTCACTTAAATGGGTTCTGCATGACGTGAGGGCATTGCAACAGAGCCAGGCTTTGGGTCAGCGGTTACTCATTCCACAGCGATGAGCGGGAGGAAGTGCTAAATAAGGCAGCACAGCACGTTATATGCCAAATGCGCTGGTATTTGGAGACTTTGGGAAAGGGGGAGGGAGGACGACTCCCAAAAATCGCCAAGGAAGGGGTCAAACCAACCGGGTGGTGAGCGGGGAGGGGGGGAGGAAGATGAAGATAACACTTCGGCGTCCCTCCTCCCCCGCTCCTCTTAAGGGGCTCGGCAGGCGTTCGGTGGACACCGTGCCCACCCGCTGCAGCCAGAGAAGTGGGGTCAACTGGGGATGAGCTCCCAAGTCGGA